CGCTGGCGGGGAACACTATACCAAAATTTCAGCCGCCTAGCTTTTGTGGTTCCCGAGTCGAAAGTGCGGGACAAAATGTGGGAGACACACACACACAGACAACCCAGTGACAATATGCACTTTGTGGTGCTGTTACATAGCACAAAACGCAAAAAAATGAATCTTATAAATTTCCCAGAATCCATTCAAAGCCTTGTTTAACACTGTGCATGAAAGGCTGAAGTGCTTGGTAGTAGTCGGGAGTTTCACTTGCCCATGGAAACTGTTAAGATGATAAGGTTGCCGGCGGTTTGTTCTTCCCGAGTTACTTAGAAGCAATGTTATGAGAAATCGTTGACGTGTGCTAGTAACAATTTGCCAGTACCGTGAATGAAAAGCATTGCTTATCTTGCTGACGTAGTCGCACCCTTGCCTTTTGCACGAAAACGGAGCTATTTACCATTAAATCCTGTTTGCTAACCTTATAAACTGAAATCGAATAATGGCCTTGAACTGTTGAAAATATACAGTTGCATTAGAACTGCTGCATTTCGTTACTGAAAGCCAAAAAGTGTATTTAATTTCATTGGTGTGGGCGAATAAAGAGAGAGGGAGAAGGCCGGATTATTGTTGCCTTTTTACAGGGCATGCAGTAGATCTTTATTAACTTGTAATTTAACTTTTCCATTATTATATTATATATTTTCCAAACTGTCAGTAGCGAGGCGAAAAAAGAAAGCACTTTATTATATACAGAATTGCCCCTCTAACACCGATGTTCTTTAAAGTTCGCTTTGGAAGCTACATTACTGATATAGCATTATCAGGAAGTGGTAATCAAGAGAAGGCAGTGCAGGCGAAATGATTAGCTGAAAAAAGGCATTACTGGATTTGGCATGTATTCGCATCCTGGACGCAAAAAGAACTTCAGAAAGCGAACTCAAGCGTTTTTGCTTGCACTTCTGTAGCGGATAAAGGCGGGATTTTTCTGTGGAAGAAAGTTTGTTAGATTAGCCACTGAGAGAAGTCGCAAGGTCAAGTTTTAAGCTCAGAAGAGCCGTTTTTAAATTACTGCTGAATTATGGTATTTGTCTGTGTATAAAAGCTAAAGAGGCAGCTTTGCTTGCACTCAGTTCGTGTTAAAAAAAAAAAGTTGGTTTCTTAATTACGTTTTAACAACTCTCTCTTCCTCGGCAGCGGGAATACGTTTCAGTGTGGTCTGGGCAGCAGCTGCGTATGCCAGCTAACTTGTGCAGTAATTCATAAGGGAAACTAATCTTTTACGATAGCTTGTTTCCGATTTTTACATGACATCCTCACTGCCGATACGCATTATTTGTTCGCTCCCCTTCTCGGGGATCTTTTTGCTTTTGAATGACATTGAGAGCTCCAAGCTGACAGTGTAAGCAGCAAGTTAAGAATATTTTGTCTCTTATACTGCATTCTCTACATGTAGTATTTATTGTCATGTCTATTGAATCAACTTTCTTCGCAGGAGAAATGGGCGAACCAGTTTTTGTTGACAAGAATTTGCCGGAAGTGCAGGAAGCGATGAGGGCTTTTGGTTTCAATACCTTTGTCAGTGATATGATCTCATTAAATCGAAGTGTCCCGGATGTGAGGATGGACGAGTATGTCACTTATCTGTTCTCTTTTAATCCAAGAAAAACACTAAAGTAAAATACTTCATGTCGGTCTTTTTTCTAAAATCATTTCATTTGTGACATTCTCGAGTCGCTGCTTTTATGAGCTTTTTTGGAAAGTAGCATTCGAAGGTGAGTCATATCTAACGAGGTGAAAGGAGGGAACACACCGGGATCCTCTTTTATTTCACTGCTTGATATTTGATGTCAACCAGCAGGGCTGTGAAACTGCTGTTAATTTGCTGATGAAAATGGAAATTTATCAGAAGTTCCCTGGCAAAGGGTCAACCACACCTCCTTTCCGCCCTCGTTGCACGGTTGCCCTCATTTGTTTTTTACTCCACCTGCTTTTTCCTGCATCAGTGCACCATCACTCATCCTAATTTGAAAGTTGCTGCTTAGTGCATTACAATCTAGCAACACACTTCCTGTTTTTGGCTGAGTTGCTTTTGACCTGGAGAATTCGCATTTAATGTTCGACCTCCCCTAAACCCCGCTTTTTTTTGGGATCACCTAATTTGTGGACTTACCTAACTCTTCCTTATTGGTATTTCCTAGGCGTAGTCGTCGCAGAGGTAAAGCATACGTAGATTATGTGAAACTTCTTTCCTAAAATGGCAGCATTGTTTCAATGCAGGGCGTATTAAAAATTGGTTTTTTCCTCGCCATCCCATTCTGTTTTTCGCTCAGCGTTTCCGGAATCATACTGACATCTAGAACTTGTTGTGCAGTCTGTTCAGAACGATATTGTCACAACAGTCACTTTTTTGCACGTCATCTCGCCTGCCCCATTCACTGGTGTACTTGATAGGCGATGAGGTTTTCCTTCTGACATTAAAGTTCAGTCAGAAGAAGTACTGTTTGCAGGTGCAAGTACTGGCACTATCCAGAGGATTTGCCAACTGCGAGTGTAGTGATTGCGTTTCACAACGAAGGATGGTCTCCACTGATGCGTACTGTTCATTCGGTGTTGTTGCGCTCTCCACCACAATTATTGAAGGAAATAATCATGGTTGATGACTTTAGTGATAAAGGTTTGTTAACTCAAGACATTTATTTAAACACCGATTTTTCCCCTAAGATATGGCACTTCAGAACATTCAATTCCCAGAGCAATATTGCCCCGCCTGAAGACAGCTTACAAGCAAGATGTTCTTGCTGAACTACCAGTGGAGCCTTATGAATGCATCGAAATCAGCAAGCATTTGCAAAGCTGGAACATTCGTGATGGAAGTTTGAATGTGGTCGCTATGTGGTGGCAGAATCGCCAACATTGTTTAAAATGTTGGTGGGAAGCCGATATTTCAACCCATATTTACAAAACCCTGCTTTTTTTATTTGGAAGGAAAAAATGTTCCGGGGAGATGTTGAGATGATGGGTATACAGATGTTCTAACATTCCCGAAGATTTTTTTTTGTTTTATTGTTAGCCTCTTTGGCTTATTCAAAGGAGTGGGGAGTAGAGGTCTGCAATCCCCTTTCCTGGTGAATCAATAAAATTATGCAGAAAGCAAATTACCAGAATTTTAGCATGAAAAGCTTCGATTTTGGTGAGGAGAACAGCGCAAAAAA